CAGCACACGCGCGTCGAAGAAGGAGAAGCGCCCGCCTGCACCGCGCAATAAGCGGGTGTGGTCGGACGCCGAGCTGGCCACCCTCGCGGCCGCACGCTGGAACACAAAGGACGATTTGAAAGCGATGCAGGGCAAGCAAGGGAGTCAGTACTGGATGAAACTGCGTGCACACATCGTCGAAGGGGACGCCTCGTGGAACCGCGATGAGGGGCAGATGTCGAACGCGTGGAAACGCCTGGAGAAAAAGTACCTAAAAACGAAACGTGGTGAAGGGCAGAGCGGCGGGAAAGCAATCAAGAAAAAGCCGTGGTGGGAGTACGTGTATAATCTCAAGAAGCACTCGTGTCAGAATGTTATTGTTCTCTAGCCTGCAGTGGGGTACTCTATAGCGAGTACAACCCCCTAGGGTTTCCTATATGTATCCTGCTGCTTTCTAGTGAACATGCTCCTTTGCTTATTCTCTCTTGCCTAGCTAGGGCTTACCTAGCTATGGCTCCTACTCATTCCTCGTTTCATTTTCACATGGTTTCAGAGCACTCACGCTCCTGGCCTGTGGGCCCTACTGCTGCTTCCGCTGCTACTCTGTGTGTTGCACGCCCCGTGGCGTGCGACGGATTTCTCTTCCCGCCGCGCGCTCGGAGCGTGCGGCGGTTTTCTGCCCGCCGTGCGCCCCGAGGCGCGCGGCGGTTTTCTGCCCGCCGTGCGCCCCGGGGCGTGCGGCGGTTCTCTGCCCGCCGTGCGCCCCGAGGCGCGCGGCGGCCTTCTGCCCCGTCGGTCCGCGCGTCGCCCCCGGGGGGCGCTTCGACGGGCGACGGGGACCAGCCCGTCGTCCCCCGTCGCCCGTCCCGGCCAGCGCGGGCTGCGCCAGCCCCGAGCGCGGCCCGTACGGGCTGCGCCCGGCCCGCGCGCGGCCCGTACGGGCTGCGCCCGGCCCGCGCGCGGCCCGTACGGGCTGCGTCAGGCCCGCGCGCGGCCCGTACGGGCTGCGCCAGGCCCGCGCGCGGCCCGTACGGGCTGCGCCAGGCCCGCGCGCGGCTCGGGCCGCCTGCGCGCAGTTCGTCGAGCTGTGCCAGGCCCGTGGGCGGCCCGTTCCTCTCTGTCCCTGAGCTGCTCGCTGTCCCCCGTGCTTCTGACGGTGCCCCACCCCTACTGCTGCCCGTTCTCCTGAATTAGGGATTGGGGGTGAGGAGTGTGGGGGTGGCGGTTGTGTGTTACTCCCCTTGCTCCTCCTCCTCCCTGGTCTCCCACTGCTGCAGCTGCCGCTGAGGGGGGTGGGTGTGTGGGAGCCTAGGGTTTAGGGTTTAAGGGGGGTGCTGTAGGAGTGGAGTTAGGGGTTCAGCAGGGGGTGTGTGTCGAGGGTGTGGGGCAGTTGGAGGAGGTTGTGTGGAGGTAGCGGTCGTGTCGCCTGCAGCACCTGTAGTCCGTCGCCCTTGCTTCGGTAGCCAGTGAGCCTGCTGCACCAGTCGCCAGTGGGTCCGTTGCTCCTGCCGCTCTTCTATAGCCGCCGAGCCAGTTACTCCAGTAGTCCGTCGCCCTTGCTTCGGTAGCCTCTGAGTCAGCCGCTCATGTGCCCGTGCCTCTGCAGCTTCAGTCGTTGCCTCCCATCTTCTCTACCTCCACAGCTCCTCCTCCTCCTCACTTGCCCGCTGTGATTAGCTCTAGCTTTGCTTACCTTTGTGAACTCCTGCTCTATACCTGCTTGCTCATTGTACTGATTACACCCCACTTTGGCTATGGGGGTGTGTCAGAATGTTATTCTCTAGCCTGTAGTGGGGTGCTCTATAGCGAGTACAACCCATCTAGGGTTTGCTATATGTATCCTCATTGCTGCTAGTGAACTCTCCTCTTTTGCCTACTCATCTCACGCCATCCTAAGCTTAAGTCCTAAACCTTGAGCACCTAAACTTAACAACTCGGCCAAGGCGAAGGCTCACGCACTGGACGGAGGAGGCGCCGCCACCGTGGACGTCCCTGCATACGCCCCGGTGCCCGGCACCACCGAGCGTGAGACGTCGGGCCCATCGTCTCTGGAACTCCAACGCGGTGGCCGTCGGGCAAATAGAACGCCAGGTTAGTGTTGGGTTGGAAAGGCAGTGTTCGTGGTCTAATGCCTAAGTATTACCGTGAGTCACTGCAATTGACCACTCTTGCATTATACTTCTCAACAAATACATGCAATCAAATAGCAACAAAGCCGCCTTATTACCAACTATGCCTACACCCTCCCCTACAGACGCTGGTGACACTCCGCCACCCAAACGAAGGCGGGTATACGAAACCGCCACTATGGCAGCAGCAAAGCTGGTGAGCGATGCCATCAACTCCACCAACGCGAACGTGGTGCGCCAGCTTCAAGACTCCACTCAGACGCTTGTCGCCGTCATGAACATGGCGGCCCTTCAGGCTGGCGTGCGATTTCAGATGGCCACACCGCACGCACAACAGGCTGCGCCTCAGACGACGCCGGACCTCGCGCCACCTGTCGTTCACATGGCGTTCACGGAGGAGGTGGCGGAGCAGCCCGAGCCTTAGCGCGTTGACCTCGGCAGACGGTGACGCCTGAGGTAAGCCCGATGGATGTGCTTGCCAAAGTGGTGTCGGCGCGCGCGCAGATCGGCAAGTGTTGGGTTGTCTAGGCTCGGCCAGTGATAACGATCCATGCCGCTCTTAGTCCACCAGCCGTTCGGGAGCCCCGCCCATATGTAGCGTCGGGGGTTGTGCGTTTTCATCCTTGGAGTACTGACGATCTGCAACATGTTGTGCAGGATGATGATGCAGGCCGTTCCTGCACACACGCGCCAGAGCTTGCTCTCGTGCCTGCGCGAGAAGAGCCTCCAGCGCCCCTTCAGTGCGCCGATCGTGCGCTCAACGACCATCCTGGTCGCGGACTGGACGTAGTTGTACGTCTGCTCCCACTTCTTCATAAGGCGACGACGTGGTGCGTGCAGGGGGGTGAGCATGTAGGACCTCAATGGGTATGCGGCGTCACCCACTAACTGATAGGGGGCGATTTCCCCACTCTCTAGCCTGCCATGCAGATCTGATGTAGAGAAAACACCTTGATCATGCATTGAGCCCGGATTGCCAACCGTGTAGTCCCAAATGACTACCTTTGAATCACACGTGACATGAAGTTGCACACTGTATACCGACTTCCTGTTGTAGTAGTCCCCACGGTGTGCCTCCATGCCGCGAATCTCAACATGTGTACCGTCAATCGCGCCAATCACGTTGGGGACTCCTTTGATGGCCTTGAAGTCCAGCGCCATCTCCTCCCGCACTTCTTCAGGAGGGAACTGCACCCAGTCCCGCTTGAACTTGCGGGGAAACCAGACCAAGAAGGCATCCACAAGGCGGTGGATGAGGCCCCTTGTCAGCCCAAACATTAGGCTCATGTCGTGGTAGGACATGGCACTGGCAAAGTATTTGATCGGGATAAGACAGTAGAGAGATAGTGAGACCTCGTTCACCTCCACAAAGCGCGACATTGGATGAGCCATTTTGTCAGCGATGAGGTCGAGTACTTCCCGCGTGATGCGGAAAGTGTCTTCAAACTCCTCGTCAAACATGGCGCGTATCTCCTCGACCCAATAGGCCACCCGTTCCTGGCGCTTGCGCTTCCGACTTTCGCGGCGGGCGGTTTCACGTCGCCCGCGCTCCCCATCCTCTGCCTGAGCCATAGGGAGGATATTGGTTAACCACTCCAATGCGGCTAGAGATACTACACGCTGCCAGGAGGTGAGGAGGTGCTCATGCCATAGGTGTAAGGCCACACACAGGATGAGAACCTGTGCGCTGACCATGGTTTATGGCCGCGCTGTAAAAGCCGAGAGGACGCGCTTAACGCATTAAGAGCCGTGGGCGCTCGCATTCGGTTCATTACTGGATCGCGCAGTTGCTGGGAGCGCGTTTGTTGTGGGCGTCTTGGCGTGGAGCGGCTGGTTGCTTGTATATGGGGATCCTTTGCGTAGCGCTCAAACTGTGTGGAGTCGTGTTGTGGCTCTGTAAAAAGTGTCACACAATTGTTACGGGGTTTTTTTACAAGTTTGGGAGGTGCAAATTTGACATTGACGGGCGTGAGTCAACTGAAGACGGTCGTCTACAGAGTGGTACTGAACATGGGGTCGCAGTGCATTATGATTGGTCGGGGGAACATTTTGACTGACGGTCGCATGCAGTGGGATGGATGACCCGAAGTTCGGACCGCGCGCGCCTCGACGCCCCACTTTGGGTCATGCGCTAATTGCGGATGCCCCAAACAGTAGAATGAACAGTGCTCATGACTGGAACCAAAGATACGCCCTCATACTGTCGGTGGTGAGAGAAACCTGAAAGCCAGCCTGTGCCTGGAGAGCGGGAACCGATTACAGTCACGACGATGTCACGACGATGCTTCCAGATTCACGAATCACGATTGAACTCTTGCAAACTGGACCGCAAGAGTCCTTCAAGCTTCGCCTGCCCAAAGGCGAGGCGAGGCGACCCAAAACTAGGGCCAGGATGACATGACACACGTAACTTGAGGATCAATTGTGTCATAGCCCGCGTGCCATCGTAACCTTGGTTTCGCCGGGGCTGGCGTCTCACCGTGGCCTGGACAATTCATTGCCTCCGTCCGTTCCGCGCTCATCTGCGCTGCGTGTCGTCCGTCTTCTCTTCCGTCTTTTTCCTCCATCGTCATGGATTGCACGGGAATTCCAGCTTGCGTGGGAAGGCATCGGAAGGGATTCCGGACGCTAAGCGGAGATAGCTCGGTTTTCTCGAACATTTCTCCGGACGACGCACTAATAGCAGATTCCGACACCTTAGCTCATGAAGGGAATCGAGTGACGTCGTCTGAAGGGGATTTAGAAATGGAGGAGGGTTGCGAAGGGTTACTGACGGGGCGAGAAGAGACAGTACTATACGACCCGGGAGGTTGTTACCCGTCCCTGAACCTCAGCGGATTGAAGCCACAGCAGAAACGGCGACCTTTAGGGATCCTAAGTAAGGCCGCGCGAATGCCGCCGTCTTCGGCGGCTGAGGATGATCCGTCTAGTAGTGCCGCGCCCCCGTGTCATGTCTCAAGCCCGCCGACACAGACAGCAGATCTGGTAGTAGATTACGATTCGTCCGTTCGTGCCACGTCATCGTTTCATCATAACGCCAGCGTACCCGCACAGGCAGGGGTGCGTTCCGCCTTTTCGTGCTTTGGTTTCAATGGCGATGGCGCATCATGCGCATCGGCCGAGGAAAGCGAGAGGGAGAATGGGGAGGAGGAAGAGAGAGAAGACGGGAGGAAAGTCGCGAGGGAGAGTGAGATCGGCGACAGGAATGATCTTGATTCAACGGAGGGGGCGGAGGGGACGGAGGGGGCGGAAGAGGCAGAGGAGGCGGAGGGGGCAGACGGGAATGAGTCTGACGATGGCGGGTATGAGTTCCGCGGATTGGAAAATGAGACGGAGATGGCGATGCTGGCGGAATCGACGGCGGAAGTGGGGTTGGGGGGAAAAGGGGTCGCGGAAAAGGGGGCCGCGGAAGGCGCGGAAGGGGCGGAAGGGGCGGAAGGGCACCATCGGCGACAGTCGTGGCTGACGAGTGTGGAGTGGTTCGTGTCGTGGCCGCTCAGGCGACTCAGCCACCCGTGGCGCAAGGTACGCCGTGAATACCGCAGTGCTGTGGTGATTGGGACACTGCAGTGCGTGGTGTCCTGGTTCGTACGACGTGCATGCGCTGCCTGTGAAAAAAAGAAGAAAAGAAACAGCTACCTCCCAGGTCTCAGCTGGTGCGTCAATTCTGCAGTAGGGTTGGCGGCGGCTGGTCCTGGCCCCTGGACATTCCGACGCTCATGTTCACAATCCAGGGATAAGAGGGATGACACACAGAGTAACCTGCTTCTGAGCTTCCCCCCTATAGTCACAACCCCCCCACCACCCCACTCCACCCCCCTCCACCCAACGTCATTCCTACATTCCAGCGAGTGCTGTGGCTGTGGGCGGTGTGGTGATAGCAGCGGTTATCCTGTCGATGGTGTTTGCAATGGCATGGCAGCATGCGCAGGCGAGAGAGAGGGACGACACGCACAGCCTCCTGCTTCCCTTCCCCCCTCTGCTCACGCCCCTCCTCCCATCCTCCCCCTTCGAATGGTCCTTGTATTGAATAAACAACTCGTACAGGCAAGGATGGAATGCGTTCAAGGTAAGACTACTAACCCTTTTCTCTCCCCCTTCACCCTTCCGTTTCTCCCTTCACATGTTACTCCCCCCTCTCTCCTCCCCCCCCCTCCGCTCCCCACCCCCCCCTCTCCCAGCGAGTGCTGTGGCTGTGGGTGGTGCTAGCAGCGGCCATCCTGTCGCTGGTGTTTGCGATGGCGTGGCAACATGCGCAGGGGACTGAGAGGGACGACCTGGAGTCGCACTGTGACGAGTGGGGGGCGTTTATAGAGGCCAAGTTCAACACCACTGCAACCAACACGCGCTCCGTTTCCGACTTCATCCGCGCATATTACCTCGATAAGTACGCCCAGGGCCACCTTTTACCTTTGTTTCTCCCAGTGCCGCCGGTTTTATGGGCCGCCAACACACGCTCCGTTTCCGACTTGATCAGCGCTTATTACCTCGATAAGTTCGGGGCCGTTAGGGGCTTCCATGCGTTGTAGCTCGCTCCTACGCGCGGCATTTCTCTGACTCTCATGCTGACAACCACCTCAAGCTTCTCACTCCACCTCCCTCCGAAACCCTTTCGACCCACTCTCCTTCCTTCTCCCCCTGTCCTCTTCCCCCCCCCGGCTTCCTTCTCTTCTCATTTCTCCCTCACTATCGTTTCCGCCTTCTCCCGTCCCCCCTACCCGTCAAACCCTACTGCCAAACACCTCCTTGAGGGAGGACTATCTTGACGTGGAGAAAGTACGTGCATTGAGTTGAAATTTGAGGCGCCTCAAAATTCAACTTCCCTGAGGGAGGACTTTCTGGACGTGGAGAAACTCCAACGCTTCACTCTCAAGCCACTCTTGAATCTCGAGTTCATCTATAAAACATATTTGCACTTCCACCCCTCCTCCTCCCCCGCCTCCCCCTCCCTTCGTTTCCCCCGGGGCAAGCAGCATGAGGGAGGAGTGTCTGGACGTGGAGAAATTCCAACACTTCACTTAGGCCACTGTCAATCCAGGAGATTTATCCCTTTTACCTTCTCCCCTCTTGTGAGGCGCCTCAAAAGATTTATCCCTTTTACCTTCTCCCCTCTCCCCTCTCCCGACCACCCTGTCCCTCCCTGACACAACCCCTCCCCCCCCCTTCCCCCCTCCGGGGGCGAGCAGCATGAGGGAGGACTTTCTGGACGTGGAGAAATTCCAACGCTTCACTCAAGCCACTCTTGACGGCCGACCCATGGCGTCATGTGAGTTGCTGTGCTGCTAGCTGAAAGTGGACTGCTCCTTTACATTTCATGGCTTGCATGTGGCGTGAAGTGCTCTGACTGAACTGAACCATGACGTCATGAGTGTTGCATGTGGCGTGAAGTGCTCTGACTGAACTGAACCATGACGTCATGAGTGTTGCATGTGGCGTGAAGTGCTCTGACTGAACTGAACCATGACGTCATGAGTGTTGCATGTGGCGTGAAGTGCTCCGACTGAACTGAACCATGACGTCATGAGTGTTGCATGTGGCGTGAAGTGCTCTGACTGAACTGAACCATGACGTCATGAGTGTTGCATGTGGCGTGAAGTGCTCCGACTGAACTGAACCATGACGTCATGAGTGTTGCATGTGGTGTGATCTGACTGACCCATGGCGTCATGTGAGTTGCATTTGGCATGTTGGTGCATTCTCACTTACGCCTCTACCCCCTTCAACAACGCAGCTCTACAAAATCGTTTTCAACCCGCCTCGACTGCCGCCTCCGTCCATCCATTCCGTTTCTCCCTTATTCCCTCCCTGTCCCCCCTGTTCCTCCTGTTCCCCAAACCCTGTTCCTCTTTTTTCGCCCCCCCCCGTGTCCCCTGTAGTCGTGAGCTTCACGCTGCTGGCCAACAGCTCGTTCCCTTGGGTCATTGTCGATATCAATCCCAACCACTGCATCTCCACTCCAGAGCCCACCGGCGTGCTCTCCTCTGCTGTTCCCCCCTGTGTTTTTCCCCGCTGACCCCTTGTGTTCCCCCCCGTATCCCCCGTGCGTCCCCCCCGGCAGTCGTGGGCTTCACACTCCTGGTGAGCAACACATTCATTCGCAACTTAGTGGAGCAAAACTCCAACCACTGCATCTTCGCTCCCGAACCCAACGGCGCACTCGCCTGTGCTGTCCTCCCCGTGCTGTCCCCTCCGTTACCCCCCTGTGTCCCCGGCAGTCGTTGGCTTCACACTCCTGGTGAACAACACGTTCATTCGCGACTTAGTGGAGCAAAACTCCAACCACTGCATCTTTGCACCCGAACCCAACGGCACACTCGCCTGCCGCCCACGCGACCTGCCCCTGTACGCGCCCCTTGTCATCTTCAACGCCCGCAAGGAGTTCTACCCGCGCGTGAACCTCTCTGCCGTCTGCTGCCAGGACATCATGGCTGGTGAGTCCAAGGGCTGACTTTTGAGAATTCTCCAAAGGGACATCATGGCTGGTGAGTCCAAGGGCTGACTTCTGAGAGTTCTCCAAAGGGACATCATGGCTGGTGAGTCCAAGGGCTGACTTTTGAGAATTCTCCAAAGGGACATCATGGCTGGTGAGTCCAAGGGCTGACTTTTGAGAATTCTCCAAAGGGACATCATGGCTGGTGGCCGGTAGAACTAGAGCCGCTCTTGAGAATCCCGATAGCCAGCTTCCGTCGACCTGCCTGCCCCTGTACGCGCCCCTTGTCATCTTCAACTCTCACAAGGAGTTGTACCCACGCGTGAACCTCCCTGCACTTTTTGAGGCGCCTTAAAATTCGCCTCAAAAGTCGTTTCAGTCGACCCGCCTGCCCCTGCACGCGTCCCTTGTCATTTTCAACTCCTGCAAGGAGTTCTACCCGCGCGTGAACCTCTCTGCACTCTGCTGCTACATCATGGCATGCCAGGTGACTGGAAAGGCGGGGCCGGTGGGAAGGAGCATCTTTCGTCGCCTGTTGTGCTGTACGGGGTTCTCGAGGTTTCAAGTAGTTCCCGGTGTGTTTTGAGTCGACTCAAAACACACCTAGTTCCCGGGGCATCTTGTAGTTACTGCTGTGTGGGGTTCTTGTAGTTACTCGTGAGGGGAGTGTGGACGGGTCTACCGCTGCTGCTGACCACGCCTCGCACTTCTCCACGTGAAGCGAGGTTGTTGTTGAGACGTCTCAAAAACAACTTCGCTTCACGTCGCTGCTGCTGACCACGCCTCGCACTTCTCCTCCAGGTTGTGTACAAGGCCCAGGTTGTTAAGCGCGGCCGTGAGGTGATTGAAGGCTTCGGTGCAGGCTGTGTCCTCTCCCTGGAGGGTGATGTCGTCTTGGCTCTGCACCATCTGCCCACTCCTCTGCTGGGCCCTTTCTCCCCCCTCGACTAACCTCCTTCCCCGCCTCCCACCACATCCCACCACCCCCCACCGCATCCCGCTGCCCCTCTCAGAACCAGCATTTAACGACACGTTCCACCGGGCCATTGACTCAGCCTCCTCCGCCATGTCTCCTCCCTTCATGCGCGACAACTACTCCTACCACTTCATCGGCCAGGCCTTCCCAGTCTACTTCAACCTCACCACCTTCGCCCTGCCCCCCTCAGCCTCCCTTCCCTCCGTCGCCATCCCTCCACTTGCCACGCCTGAGGACCTCCCGCGGGGGTTTGTCATCGCGGGGTATAACTTTGCAAACCTGCGATCGCTGGTGGGGTTTCAGCAGCTGGTGGAGCTGAACGAGAGGGTTTATCTGGTGGATGGCACGAGGGGCGGGGCGTGGGATGGTGCGAGAAATGAGGATGGGAAGGTTGATAAGTGGTTGCCGGCGTTGTTGTTTGATCATGAGGGGGTGGTGGGCGAGGAGGAGATTGGAGCGTGGATGATGGATGGGAAGGGGCAAGAGGATGGGGGGAGAGTGCAGCGTGAGGTGCACTTGGGTGACCCAACACGAAAGTTTTATCTATTCTGCGAGTGAGTTGATGTGTGCATGCATGCGTACGTGCCTGAACATGCCTACGGAAATCAGGCATTCATCGCACATACATTCATTATACATCCATCCATGCATCCACGAGCCATGTATACTCGCATACATGCATCGATCTAATTGATGGTGGCGGTGTTGTTTCTTCCTGTCTCCACCTGTTGTTTCTTTCTTGTCTCCACCATCCTCCTCTTGTCGAGCGTCCGCCTCATGCATGACTTCGACTGCCATCACCTTGCCTCACCAGAGTATGGTCTCCCCTCCCCCACTCTCCCCCTCCCCGCCCCATCAACCTCCATCCCACCACAGGCACATATCCCCTCCAGTGCACCCTTCGCCACCCTCCCTCTCTCCCTCCTGCCCCTCGCCCTCCATCCCACCACAGGCACACCTCGTACACTAAGCCATTCGGCCCGTAGAATTCTCGAAAAACAGACCCTCCATCCCACCACAAGCACATATCCCCTCCCCCGCATCCCCCGCCACCACCCTCCCTCTCTCCCTCTTGCCCCTCGCCCTCCATCCCACCACAGGCACATCTCGTACACCAAGCCATTCGGCCCGTTCATCTGGATAGTGGTGGCGGTGCTGTTCCTGACTGTCTCCACCATCCTCCTCTGGACGAGCATCCAGCTCATGCACGCATTTGAGTGCGACTGTCAGCACCTAGCTGCCGCCCAACATGAGCTGCGTGCCGCCCGCTTGGAGGCCGAGGCGGCGAGCCGAGCCAAGGGGGATTTCCTCACGACGATGTCGCATGAGATCCGCACACCCATGAACGGCGTCATAGGCATGCATTTGTTTCTTCTCTCCAAGCCTGTATGTTTGAGGTGCTTTGAAAGCAGCAAGCCGAGCCAATAGGGATTTCCTCACGACGATGTCGCATGAGATCCGCACACCCATGAACGGCGTCATAGGTATGCATTTGTTTCTTCTCTCCAAGCCTGTATGTTTGAAGTGCTTTGAAAGCAGCAAGCCGAGCCAATAGAGATTTCCTCACGACGATGTCGCATGAGATCCGAACACCCATGAACGGCGTCATAGGTATGCATTTGTTTCTTCTCTCCAAGCCTGTATGTTTGAGGTGCTTTGAAAGCAGCAAGCCGAGCCAATAGGGATTTCCTCACGACGATGTCGCATGAGATCCGCACACCCATGAACGGCGTAATAGGTAACGTGATACAGCAAGATAAATTGGTGATGTATATGATGATGTGATAGCATAGTAAGGCGATAACACGGTAACCTCACCTCACGCAATTGATCATGTGAATGTCGTCGATCGGATTTAACTTAGAATTGACTTAATCAAAGCTCAAGTCAAGTCGTTGCTTTGCGAGATTCTATGGCAATCAACGTTTCCATAGCATCGTGTTGCTAGCGTACCAGCGTTCACCTTCATAGCATTTTTTCGTTGAGCCGTGTAAAAACAATAATTGACCAAGAAGAAAAGGAGGATATAATTGTTGCAAGTACTAGCAAAATCCCTACTAGTAAACTCAGAACAACATGCGATGATCGTCAATCATTCGAAGCAACATAATCACCATGGCGGGATATAAGTGCAAGATGGCGAACATGTTGGGTGTAAAAATCATTTTTGCATGTCAAGCAGTCGCCTGCATATTATCTCGCATTTTGTGTGTGTTTTGTGCGCTTTCGTTTTTTCATCTCGTTTCGGACTTTTTTCGTTCCATGCTCATGATCAGTCATGAAATATCATGACGAATAATTTAATATCATGGAATTTCATGAATGCTAATGAGATGTCACACACCGCCGAGCCTCATAAAAACTCATGAGAATTCACGTGGTTTCATGACGAGTGATGAATGTTAATGAGGGCCAGTGTCATTGCCCCTCGAATATCTCGCGCTTAGTCAAGGTAAAAGCGCGCAAATATTTGGACCGCATGTGGGGTCCGGATCTCGCGTGTGGCCTTAGGGCTGACGCGTGGGGCCCCACGATTGCATCAGGGCAGGGCGATCAAGATTGCTCTGCCTGTGCAGGATAGCGCACGATCACGTCAACTCGCATTGATGCGAAACATATGTGTGTCAAGTGGAAGTAGCCAAAGAAAGCAAACACGCAAACACAACTGATTCTACAGATGGCAGGATGTTGTGCAAAGTGAATTGACACTTAATAAGCTGGTTCTGGAAACCCCTTCGGAGGAGCTGATTGCTATCTCTTTTCCTCCTTTCTCTCCCTTCTCTCCCTCCCTCCTCCCTTCCCCACCAGGCATGCTGAACCTGCTCCTGGAAACTCCTCTGGACGGGTCGCAGAAGGACTACGCACAGACGGCACAAAGCAGCGGGCGGGCGCTGTGTGCACTGATCAACGACATTCTCGACCTCTCCAAGATCGAAGCCGAAAAGTTGCACCTCGAGCGCATCCCGCTGGACTTGCGTGCCGAGCTCGACGACGTGCTCGCGCTCTTTGTGGAGAGCGCCCAGGAGAAGCGTTCTGTTGAGCTCGCGGCGTTTGTGGTCGACGACGTGCCCGGGATTCTCCTTGGCGACCCGCTTCGAGTGAAGCAGGTGCATATAGTGTTCGAAGTAGGGATGATGAGCAAGTACCGAACTCGAACCGGTATGATTATGTGCCTGCGTGGCACATAATGCTGGTGCATGGCAGGGACAAAGACATGGCAGGGACAAAGACATGGCAGGGACAAAGACATGGCAGGGACACGTGAGCCGATCCTTGCAGCCTCAGTGTGCATCTGTGTGTGCATGTGTACGCCTCATCTCTTCCTTTAAGGGAGTGCCTCAACTCATCTCACCTCACCTCATCAGTGATGTACTCAAGTTCACTACCATTTCCCCGACCGATTTTCCCCCGCCCCATGCCTCTGCCGACCCCGTCCCTGTCCGATGCCCCAGCACATCTCCGCCAATTTTTGTGTGCATTTGCTTGCGTGCATTCGCTTGCGTGAATCCTCTTGTTTGCATACGTCATATCCTCATTCAATTTCAGCACCAATGCCTTCCTCCCCCCCACTCCCCCTGTGCAATACCCCTGTTTCCCCCCACTCCCCCTGTGCAATACCCCTGTTTCCCCCCACTCCCCCTGTGCAATACCCCTGTTTCCCCCCACTCCCCCTGTGCAATACCCCTGTTTCCCCCCACTCCCCCTGTGCAATACCCCTGTTTCCCCCCACTCCCCCTGTGCAATACCCCTGTTTCCCCCCACTCCCCCTGTGCAATACCCCTGTTTCCCCCCACTCCCCCTGTGCAATACCCCTGTTTCCCCCCACTCCCCCTGTGCAATACCCCTGTTTCCCCCCACTCCCCCTGTGCAATACCCCTGTTTCCCCCCACTCCCCCCGTGCAATACCCCTGTTTCCCCCCACTCCCCCTGTGCAATACCCCTGTTTCCCCCCACTCCCCCTGTGCAATACCCCTGTTTCCCCCCACTCCCCCTGTGCAATACCCCTGTTTCCCCCCACTCCCCCTGTGCAATACCCCTGTTTCCCCCCACTCCCCCTGTGCAATACCCCTGTTTCCCCCCACTCCCCCTGTGCAATACCCCTGTTTCCCCCCACTCCCCCTGTGCAATACCCCTGTTTCCCCCCACTCCCCCTGTGCAATACCCCTGTTTCCCCCCACTCCCCCTGTGCAATACCCCTGTTTCCCCCCACTCCCCCTGTGCAATACCCCTGTTTCCCCCCACTCCCCCTGTGCAATACCCCTGTTTCCCCCCACTCCCCCTGTGCAATACCCCTGTTTCCCCCCACTCCCCCTGTGCAATACCCCTGTTTCCCCCCACTCCCCCCGTGCAATACCCCTGTTTCCCCCCACTCCCCCTGTGCAATACCCCTGTTTCCCCCCACTCCCCCTGTGCAATACCCCTGTTTCCCCCCACTCCCCCTGTGCAATACCCCTGTTTCCCCCCACTCCCCCTGTGCAATACCCCTGTTTCCCCCCACTCCCCCTGTGCAATACCCCTGTTTCCCCCCACTCCCCCTGTGCAATACCCCTGTTTCCTCCCACTCCCCCTGTGCAATACCCCTGTTTCCTCCCACTCCCCCTGTGCAATACCCCTGTTTCCCCCCACTCCCCCTGTGCAATACCCCTGTTTCCTCCCACTCCCCCTGTGCAATACCCCTGTTTCCTCCCACTCCCCCTGTGCAATACCCCTGTTTCCCCCCACTCCCCCTGTGCAATACCCCTGTTTCCCCCCACTCCCCCTGTGCAATACCCCTGTTTCCCCCCACTCCCCCTGTGCAATACCCCTGTTTCCCCCCACTCCCCCTGTGCAATACCCCTGTTTCCCCCCACTCCCCCCGTGCAATACCCCTGTTTCCCCCCACTCCCCCTGTGCAATACCCCTGTTTCCCCCCACTCCCCCTGTGCAATACCCCTGTTTCCCCCCACTCCCCCTGTGCAATACCCCTGTTTCCCCCCACTCCCCCTGTGCAATACCCCTGTTTCCCCCCACTCCCCCTGTGCAATACCCCTGTTTCCCCCCACTCCCCCTGTGCAATACCCCTGTTTCCCCCCACTCCCCCTGTGCAATACCCCTGTTTCCCCCCACTCCCCCTGTGCAATACCCCTGTTTCCCCCCACTCCCCCTGTGCAATACCCCTGTTTCCCCCCACTCCCCCTGTGCAATACCCCTGTTTCCCCCCACTCCCCCTGTGCAATACCCCTGTTTCCCCCCACTCCCCCTGTGCAATACCCCTGTTTCCCCCCACTCCCCCCGTGCAATACCCCTGTTTCCCCCCACTCCCCCTGTGCAATACCCCTGTTTCCCCCCACTCCCCCTGTGCAATACCCCTGTTTCCCCCCACTCCCCCTGTGCAATACCCCTGTTTCCCCCCACTCCCCCTGTGCAATACCCCTGTTTCCCCCCACTCCCCCTGTGCAATACCCCTGTTTCCCCCCACTCCCCCTGTGCAATACCCCTGTTTCCTCCCACTCCCCCTGTGCAATACCCCTGTTTCCTCCCACTCCCCCTGTGCAATACCCCTGTTTCCCCCCACTCCCCCTGTGCAATACCCCTGTTTCCTCCCACTCCCCCTGTGCAATACCCCTGTTTCCTCCCACTCCCCCTGTGCAATACCCCTGTTTCCCCCCACTCCCCCTGTGCAATACCCCTGTTTCCCCCCACTCCCCCTGTGCAATACCCCTGTTTCCTCCCACTCCCCCTGTGCAATACCCCTGTTTCCTCCCACTCCCCCTGTGCAATACCCCTGTTTCCTCCCACTCCCCCTGTGCAATACCCCTGTTTCCCCCCACTCCCCCTGTGCAATACCCCTGTTTCCTCCCACTCCCCCTGTGCAATACCCCTGTTTCCCCCCACTCCCCCTGTGCAATACCCCTGTTTCCTCCCACTCCCCCTGTGCAATACCCCTGTTTCCCCCCACTCCCCCTGTGCAATACCCCTGTTTCCTCCCACTCCCCCTGTGCAATACCCCTGTTTCCCCCCACTCCCCCTGTGCAATACCCCTGTTTCCCCCCACTCCCCCTGTGCAATACCCCTGTTTCCTCCCACTCCCCCTGTGCAATACCCCTGTTTCCCCCCACTCCCCCTGTGCAATACCCCTGTTTCCCCCCACTCCCCCTGTGCAATACCCCTGTTTCCTCCCACTCCCCCTGTGCAATACCCCTGTTTCCCCCCACTCCCCCTGTGCAATACCCCTGTTTCCTCCCACTCCCCCTGTGCAATACCCCTGTTTCCCCCCACTCCCCCTGTGCAATACCCCTGTTTCCCCCCACTCCCCCTGTGCAATACCCCTGTTTCCCCCCACTCCCCCTGTGCAATACCCCTGTTTCCTCCCACTCCCCCTGTGCAATACCCCTGTTTCCCCCCACTCCCCCTGTGCAATACCCCTGTTTCCTCCCACTCCCCCTGTGCAATACCCCTGTTTCCCCCCACTCCCCCTGTGCAATACCCCTGTTTCCCCCCACTCCCCCTGTGCAATACCCCTGTTTCCCCCCACTCCCCCTGTGCAATACCCTGTTTCCCCCCACTCCCCCTGTGCAATACCCCTGTTTCCTCCCACTCCCCCTGTGCAATACCCCTGTTTCCCCCCACTCCCCCTGTGCAATACCCCTGTTTCCTCCCACTCCCCCTGTGCAATACCCCTGTTTCCCCCCACTCCCCTGTGCAATACCCCTGTTTCCTCCCACTCCCCCTGTGCAATACCCCTGTTTCCCCCCACTCCCCCTGTGCAATACCCCTGTTTCCTCCCACTCCCCCTGTGCAATACCCCTGTTTCCTCCCACTCCCCCTGTGCAATACCCCTGTTTCCTCCCACTCCCCCTGTGCAATACCCCTGTTTCCTCCCACTCCCCCTGTGCAATACCCCTGTTTCCCCCCACTCCCCCTGTGCAATACCCCTGTTTCCCCCCACTCCCCCTGTGCAATACCCCTGTTTCCTCCCACTCCCCCTGTGCAATACCCCTGTTTCCTCCCACTCCCCCTGTGCAATACCCCTGTTTCCTCCCACTCCCCCTGTGCAATACCCCTGTTTCCCCCCACTCCCCCTGTGCAATACCCCTGTTTCCCCCCACTCCCCCTGTGCAATACCCCTGTTTCCTCCCACTCCCCCTGTGCAATACCCCTGTTTCCTCCCACTCCCCCTGTGCAATACCCCTGTTTCCCCCCACTCCCCCTGTGCAATACCCCTGTTTCCCCCCACTCCCCCTGTGCAATACCCCTGTTTCCTCCCACTCCCCCTGTGCAATACCCCTGTTTCCCCCCACTCCCCCTGTGCAATACCCCTGTTTCCCCCCACTCCCCCTGTGCAATACCCCTGTTTCCTCCCACTCCCCCTGTGCAATACCCCTGTTTCCCCCCACTCCCCCTGTGCAATACCCCTGTTTCCCCCCACTCCCCCTGTGCAATACCCCTGTTTCCCCCCACTCCCCCTGTGCAATACCCCTGTTTCCTCCCACTCCCCCTGTGCAATACCCCTGTTTCCCCCCACTCCCCCTGTGCAATACCCCTGTTTCCTCCCACTCCCCCTGTGCAATACCCCTGTTTCCTCCCACTCCCCCTGTGCAATACCCCTGTTTCCCCCCACTCCCCCTGTGCAATACCCCTGTTTCCTCCCACTCCCCCTGTGCAATACCCCTGTTTCCCCCCACTCCCCCTGTGCAATACCCCTGTTTCCTCCCACTCCCCCTGTGCAATACCCCTGTTTCCCCCCACTCCCCCTGTGCAATACCCCTGTTTCCCCCCACTCCCCCTGTGCAATACCCCTGTTTCCTCCCACTCCCCCTGTGCAATACCCCTGTTTCCCCCCACTCCCCCTGTGCAATACCCCTGTTTCCCCCCACTCCCCCTGTGCAATACCCCTGTTTCCTCCCACTCCCCCTGTGCAATACCCCTGTTTCCCCCCACTCCCCCTGTGCAATACCCCTGTTTCCTCCCACTCCCCCTGTGCAATACCCCTGTTTCCCCCCACTCCCCCTGTGCAATACCCCTGTTTCCCCCCACTCCCCCTGTGCAATACCCCTGTTTCCCCCCACTCCCCCTGTGCAATACCCCTGTTTCCCCCCACTCCCCCTGTGCAATACCCCTGTTTCCTCCCACTCCCCCTGTGCAATACCCCTGTTTCCCCCCACTCCCCCTGTGCAATACCCCTGTTTCCTCCCACTCCCCCTGTGCAATACCCCTGTTTCCTCCCACTCCCCCTGTGCAATACCCCTGTTTCCCCCCACTCCCCCTGTGCAATACCCCTGTTTCCTCCCACTCCCCCTGTGCAATACCCCTGTTTCCCCCCACTCCCCCTGTGCAATACCCCTGTTTCCTCCCACTCCCCCTGTGCAATACCCCTGTTTCCTCCCACTCCCCCTGTGCAATACCCCTGTTTCCTCCCACTCCCCCTGTGCAATACCCCTGTTTCCCCCCACTCCCCCTGTGCAATACCCCTGTTTCCCCCCACTCCCCCTGTGCAATACCCCTGTTTCCTCCCACTCCCCCTGTGCAATACCCCTGTTTCCCCCCACTCCCCCTGTGCAATACCCCTGTTTCCCCCCACTCCCCCTGTGCAATACCCCTGTTTCCTCCCACTCCCCCTGTGCAATACCCCTGTTTCCCCCCACTCCCCCTGTGCAATACCCCTGTTTCCCCCCACTCCCCCTGTGCAATACCCCTGTTTCCCCCCACTCCCCCTGTGCAATACCCCTGTTTCCTCCCACTCCCCCTGTGCAATACCCCTGTTTCCCCCCACTCCCCCTGTGCAATACCCCTGTTTCCCCCCACTCCCCCTGTGCAATACCCCTGTTTCCCCCCACTCCCCCTGTGCAATACCCCTGTTTCCCCCCACTCCCCCTGTGCAATACCCCTGTTTCCTCCCACTCCCCCTGTGCAATACCCCTGTTTCCCCCCACTCCCCCTGTGCAATACCCCTGTTTCCTCCCACTCCCCCTGTGCAATACCCCTGTTTCCCCCCACTCCCCCTGTGCAATACCCCTGTTTCCTCCCACTCCCCCTGTGCAATACCCCTGTTTCCCCCCACTCCCCCTGTGCAATACCCCTGTTTCCTCCCACTCCCCCTGTGCAATACCCCTGTTTCCTCCCACTCCCCCTGTGCAATACCCCTGTTTCCCCCCACTCCCCCTGTGCAATACCCCTGTTTCCTCCCACTCCCCCTGTGCAATACCCCTGTTTCCTCCCACTCCCCCTGTGCAATACCCCTGTTTCCCCCCACTCCCCCTGTGCAATACCCCTGTTTCCTCCCACTCCCCCTGTGCAATACCCCTGTTTCCCCCCACTCCCCCTGTGCAATACCCCTGTTTCCTCCCACTCCCCCTGTGCAATACCCCTGTTTCCTCCCACTCCCCCTGTGCAATACCCCTGTTTCCTCCCACTCCCCCTGTGCAATACCCCTGTTTCCTCCCACTCCCCCTGTGCAATACCCCTGTTTCCTCCCACTCCCCCTGTGCAATACCCCTGTTTCCTCCCACTCCCCCTGTGCAATACCCCTGTTTCCTCCCACTCCCCCTGTGCAATACCCCTGTTTCCTCCCACTCCCCCTGTGCAATACCCCTGTTTCCCCCCACTCCCCCTGTGCAATACCCCTGTTTCCTCCCACTCCCCCTGTGCAATACCCCTGTTTCCTCCCACTCCCCCTGTGCAATACCCCTGTTTCCTCCCACTCCCCCTGTGCAATACCCCTGTTTCCCCCCACTCCCCCTGTGCAATACCCCTGTTTCCTCCCACTCCCCCTGTGCAATACCCCTGTTTCCTCCCACTCCCCCTGTGCAATACCCCTGTTTCCTCCCACTCCCCCTGTGCAATACCCCTGTTTCCCCCCACTCCCCCTGTGCAATACCCCTGTTTTCCCCCCACTCCCCCTGTGCAATACCCCTGTTTCCCCCCACTCCCCCTGTGCAATACCCCTGTTTCCCCCCACTCCCCCTGTGCAATACCCCTGTTTCCTCCCACTCCCCCTGTGCAATACCCCTGTTTCCTCCCACTCCCCCTGTGCAATACCCCTGTTTCCTCCCACTCCCCCTGTGCAATACCCCTGTTTCCTCCCACTCCCCCTGTGCAATACCCCTGTTTCCTCCCACTCCCCCTGTGCAATACCCCTGTTTCCCCCCACTCCCCCTGTGCAATACCCCTGTTTCCCCCCACTCCCCCTGTGCAATACCCCTGTTTCCTCCCACTCCCCCTGTGCAATACCCCTGTTTCCTCCCACTCCCCCTGTGCAATACCCCTGTTTCCTCCCACTCCCCCTGTGCAATACCCCTGTTTCCTCCCACTCCCCCTGTGCAATACCCCTGTTTCCTCCCACTCCCCCTGTGCAATACCCCTGTTTCCCCCCACTCCCCCTGTGCAATACCCCTGTTTCCTCCCACTCCCCCTGTGCAATACCCCTGTTTCCTCCCACTCCCCCTGTGCAATACCCCTGTTTCCTCCCACTCCCCCTGTGCAATACCCCTGTTTCCTCCCACTCCCCCTGTGCAATACCCCTGTTTCCCCCCACTCCCCCTGTGCAATACCCCTGTTTCCTCCCACTCCCCCTGTGCAATACCCCTGTTTCCTCCCACTCCCCCTGTGCAATACCCCTGTTTCCTCCCACTCCCCCTGTGCAATACCCCTGTTTCCCCCCACTCCCCCTGTGCAATACCCCTGTTTCCTCCCACTCCCCCTGTGCAATACCCCTGTTTCCTCCCACTCCCCCTGTGCAATACCCCTGTTTCCTCCCACTCCCCCTGTGCAATACCCCTGTTTCCCCCCACTCCCCCTGTGCAATACCCCTGTTTCCTCCCACTCCCCCTGTGCAATACCCCTGTTTCCTCCCACTCCCCCTGTGCAATACCCCTGTTTCCTCCCACTCCCCCTGTGCAATACCCCTGTTTCCTCCCACTCCCCCTGTGCAATACCCCTGTTTCCTCCCACTCCCCCTGTGCAATACCCCTGTTTCCCCCCACTCCCCCTGTGCAATACCCCTGTTTCCTCCCACTCCCCCTGTGCAATACCCCTGTTTCCTCCCACTCCCCCTGTGCAATACCCCTGTTTCCCCCCACTCCCCCTGTGCAATACCCCTGTTTCCTCCCACTCCCCCTGTGCAATACCCCTGTTTCCTCCCACTCCCCCTGTGCAATACCCCTGTTTCCTCCCACTCCCCCTGTGCAATACCCCTGTTTCCCCCCACTCCCCCTGTGCAATACCCCTGTTTCCTCCCACTCCCCCTGTGCAATACCCCTGTTTCCTCCCACTCCCCCTGTGCAATACCCCTGTTTCCTCCCACTCCCCCTGTGCAATACCCCTGTTTCCTCCCACTCCCCCTGTGCAATACCCCTGTTTCCTCCCACTCCCCCTGTGCAATACCCCTGTTTCCTCCCACTCCCCCTGTGCAATACCCCTGTTTCCTCCCACTCCCCCTGTGCAATACCCCTGTTTCCCCCCACTCCCCCTGTGCAATACCCCTGTTTCCTCCCACTCCCCCTGTGCAATACCCCTGTTTCCTCCCACTCCCCCTGTGCAATACCCCTGTTTCCTCCCACTCCCCCTGTGCAATACCCCTGTTTCCTCCCACTCCCCCTGTGCAATACCCCTGTTTCCCCCCACTCCCCCTGTGCAATACCCCTGTTTCCTCCCACTCCCCCTGTGCAATACCCCTGTTTCCTCCCACTCCCCCTGTGCAATACCCCTGTTTCCTCCCACTCCCCCTGTGCAATACCCCTGTTTCCCCCCACTCCCCCTGTGCAATACCCCTGTTTCCTCCCACTCCCCCTGTGCAATACCCCTGTTTCCTCCCACTCCCCCTGTGCAATACCCCTGTTTCCTCCCACTCCCCCTGTGCAATACCCCTGTTTCCCTCCCACTCCCCCTGTGCAATACCCCTGTTTCCTCCCACTCCCCCTGTGCAATACCCCTGTTTCCTCCCACTCCCCCTGTGCAATACCCCTGTTTCCTCCCACTCCCCCTGTGCAATACCCCTGTTTCCTCCCACTCCCCCTGTGCAATACCCCTGTTTCCTCCCACTCCCCCTGTGCAATACCCCTGTTTCCCCCCACTCCCCCTGTGCAATACCCCTGTTTCCTCCCACTCCCCCTGTGCAATACCCCTGTTTCCCCCCACTCCCCCTGTGCAATACCCCTGTTTCCTCCCACTCCCCCTGTGCAATACCCCTGTTTCCTCCCACTCCCCCTGTGCAATACCCCTGTTTCCTCCCACTCCCCCTGTGCAATACCCCTGTTTCCCCCCACTCCCCCTGTGCAATACCCCTGTTTCCTCCCACTCCCCCTGTGCAATACCCCTGTTTCCCCCCACTCCCCCTGTGCAATACCCCTGTTTCCTCCCACTCCCCCTGTGCAATACCCCTGTTTCCTCCCACTCCCCCTGTGCAATACCCCTGTTTCCTCCCACTCCCCCTGTGCAATACCCCTGTTTCCCCCCACTCCCCCTGTGCAATACCCCTGTTTCCCCCCACTCCCCCTGTGCAATACCCCTGTTTCCTCCCACTCCCCCTGTGCAATACCCCTGTTTCCCCCCACTCCCCCTGTGCAATACCCCTGTTTCCTCCCACTCCCCCTGTGCAATACCCCTGTTTCCTCCCACTCCCCCTGTGCAATACCCCTGTTTCCTCCCACTCCCCCTGTGCAATACCCCTGTTTCCCCCCACTCCCCCTGTGCAATACCCCTGTTTCCCCCCACTCCCCCTGTGCAATACCCCTGTTTCCTCCCACTCCCCCTGTGCAATACCCCTGTTTCCTCCCACTCCCCCTGTGCAATACCCCTGTTTCCCCCCACTCCCCCTGTGCAATACCCCTGTTTCCTCCCACTCCCCCTGTGCAATACCCCTGTTTCCCCCCACTCCCCCTGTGCAATACCCCTGTTTCCTCCCACTCCCCCTGTGCAATACCCCTGTTTCCTCCCACTCCCCCTGTGCAATACCCCTGTTTCCTCCCACTCCCCCTGTGCAATACCCCTGTTTCCCCCCACTCCCCCTGTGCAATACCCCTGTTTCCTCCCACTCCCCCTGTGCAATACCCCTGTTTCCTCCCACTCCCCCTGTGCAATACCCCTGTTTCCCCCCACTCCCCCTGTGCAATACCCCTGTTTCCTCCCACTCCCCCTGTGCAATACCCCTGTTTCCCCCCACTCCCCCTGTGCAATACCCCTGTTTCCTCCCACTCCCCCTGTGCAATACCCCTGTTTCCTCCCACTCCCCCTGTGCAATACCCCTGTTTCCTCCCACTCCCCCTGTGCAATACCCCTGTTTCCCCCACTCCCCCTGTGCAATACCCCTGTTTCCTCCCACTCCCCCTGTGCAATACCCCTGTTTCCTCCCACTCCCCCTGTGCAATACCCCTGTTTCCTCCCACTCCCCCTGTGCAATACCCCTGTTTCCTCCCACTCCCCCTGTGCAATACCCCTGTTTCCTCCCACTCCCCCTGTGCAATACCCCTGTTTCCTCCCACTCCCCCTGTGCAATACCCCTGTTTCCCCCCACTCCCCCTGTGCAATACCCCTGTTTCCTCCCACTCCCCCTGTGCAATACCCCTGTTTCCCCCCACTCCCCCTGTGCAATACCCCTGTTTCCTCCCACTCCCCCTGTGCAATACCCCTGTTTCCTCCCACTCCCCCTGTGCAATACCCCTGTTTCCTCCCACTCCCCCTGTGCAATACCCCTGTTTCCCCCCACTCCCCCTGTGCAATACCCCTGTTTCCTCCCACTCCCCCTGTGCAATACCCCTGTTTCCTCCCACTCCCCCTGTGCAATACCCCTGTTTCCCCCCACTCCCCCTGTGCAATACCCCTGTTTCCTCCCACTCCCCCTGTGCAATACCCCTGTTTCCCCCCACTCCCCCTGTGCAATACCCCTGTTTCCTCCCACTCCCCCTGTGCAATACCCCTGTTTCCTCCCACTCCCCCTGTGCAATACCCCTGTTTCCCCCCACTCCCCCTGTGCAATACCCCTGTTTCCTCCCACTCCCCTTTCCCCTCCTGCCTGCGTGCATCAGATCCTCATCAGCAACGCATTCAAGTTCACCACCAACGGCCATGTCTTCATCGCTGTACGCGTCGCAACCCCCACCGACAGCAGCAGCAGCAGCAGCAACCACAACCCCCCACCGCTGCTCTCCCCTTCGTCCTCCACATCCTCACCTTCACCCTCACGTTCACCAGCTGTATCACCATCAGCAGCAGCACCGTCACGCTCATCCTCTCTCTCCAAAGCACCAGCCAGCAGCCCCCGGCTGTCAGACAAAGGCTGCAGCAGTGCAAGCAGACGGAAAGAGGAAAAGAATCCAGCTGAGGCCTACGGGGCCGCTGCTGCTGCAGATGAGAGGAGCGGTGGTAGTCAAGCTGTTGCGGAGGCGTGTACAGAGCCTGAGCGTGCGTGTGTGACGCTGAGTGGCATACCAGCCATGAAGACATGGTGCTCGTGGGAGGGCATGCGGGAGCACATGGACCCTGCTGCCGTGGGCATGGGCATGGGCATGGGCATGGGCATGGGGATGGGGATGGGCATGGGCATGGGCAAGGCAATCTATACTAGGCATGGCGATGGGTGTGGACCGTACAGTGATGGGCGTGGTGAGGGATATGGCGATGGGCGTGGCAGTGGTGCCAGCGTGGGACCCGGCCAGCCTGTGCGACTGATGGTGGCCGTGGAAGACACAGGTACGCTTTCGATGCATCTGCGTTCTTGTGTGCCCGTGTGCGCCCATGTGCGCGTGTGCGCCCGTGTGCGCCCGTGTGAGCGTGTGCGCCCGTGTGAGCGTGTGCGCACGTGTGCGCCCGTGTGCGCGTGTGTGCGCGTGTGCGCACGTGTGCGAGCCTACGACGCGTGTGGGGTGTTGAGTTTGAGACACCTCAAAACGCGTGTGCGCGAGTGCGCCCGTGTGTGTGCCTACGACGCGTGTGCATCCGTGCTCCTGAATGTGTGCGAGCGTGCATGCGTGTGCTTGCATGCCTGTGTGCGTGTGTCTGCTTGTTTGCTCGCTCGCCGCTGTTTCATATCGTGCTCCCAAATGCTCTCGAATAACGAGTGGACCAGCTACAGCCTGCCACTGCCACATATCCCCTCCCACATGCCACACAGTGTGCAGTGAAGAAGTGAATCAGGAGCATCTGTACTGTGCTTTTTGAGTCGACTCAAAAGTCACCTAGTCCCCACATGCCACACAGTGTGCCAGTGAATAACTGGATCAGGAGCATCTGTACCGTGCTTTTCTTGTCTTTGCTTTTCCTTTAATTGTCAACGCCTGGCCTTGTTTGTAACGGCATCAATCACTGAGACGTCTCAGAACTACAGTAGGCAGGCCAACGAAGCACCTCCTCCTCCTTTTGTGTGTGTGTGTGTGAGTTTTTTTTTTTTTTTTTTTGTCTAATGAGTATGTATTATTTTGGATCTTCTTTGACTTCGCTGCCTGGCCCTGTCAAACCCTGCAGGTACCGGCATCCCCCGCCACGCTCGGAAGCACATTTTCCGGCCGTACGCGCAGGCAGAGCGCAGCACGGCACGGCTGCATGGAGGCACGGGCATCGGCCTCTCCATCTGCAAGGTGCTTTAAATGGTATCTGGCATGGGCTTTAAGGTGTGTCTCATCGGCCTCTCCATCTGCAAGGTGCATTGCATCGGGGTATTCCACGTGGCATGGGCATCCTACTTTGCACGGTATTTTGTGTTGTTGGGCATCCTACGTTGTAGGGATGAGCAAGGGGCGAACACGAGCGCGTTCGTGTTCGCCCCTGCACAAACACATCCGTTCGCCGAACCGAACAAAAACAGATGTTCGGTGTTCGCCTGTGAAGGCGTGTTCGGGCGAACCTCGAACACGTTCGTGTTCGACGCGGGGCAAATTGCAGCAGCGGCCCGAACACGAACGTGTTCGGGCGAACCTTAAACAAGTCTGTCACGAACACTTTAAGCTTAAAAAAAACCTGTTCGGTTCTTTGCTCAACCCTACTACGTTGCATGGTATTTTGTGGTGTTGGGCATCCTACGTTTCATGGAGGCATGACCTCTCCATCTCCAAGGTGCGCTACATCGAGTCAGCTGTGTTACAGACAAATTACTTTGCATTGGGACACCTGCTGTGCGAGGTGCGTTGCATCGGGACAGCTGCGTTACAAAGTACATTGCATTGGGACATCTGTGCTGCAAGGTGCATTGCACCCAGACAGCAGCCTTGCAAGGTACTTGGCATAGGGAATCTGCCTTGCGAGGTACGTTGCATTGAAGCACCCACATTGCCCCTCCCACCACCACCACCCCCCTCACTTGCCCCTCCCACCACCCTTCTCCCTCCCCTCTCCCGCTCCCCAGTTGGAGCAGCGCCTGCTGTCGCTGATGGAAATCCATCATCCAGGCTGTCGATGAGCAGCGCCTGCTGTCGATGAGCAGCGCCTGCTGTCGATGAGCAGCGCCTGCTGTCGATGAGCAGCGCCTGCTGTCGATGAGCAGCGCCTGCTGTCGATGAGCAGCGCCTGCTGTCGATGAGCAGCGCCTGCTGTCGCTGATTGTGGGAAATTGGAAATCCACCTCTGCCTAAATCCTTTGTTTTCACGACCTGCCCCTCCCCTCCCCCTCTCCCCCCACTCGCTGCAGCGCCTGCTGTCGCTGATGGAAATCCATCATCCATCTCCACCTGCCCATATCCTTCCCAATCCCAGCCTGCCGCTTCCCACTCCTCTCTCTCCCCTCTCGCTGCAGCGCCTGGTGCCGCTGATGGGGGAACCTTTCTCCACCTGCCCATATCCTTCCTAATCCCGGTCTGCCTCTCCCCAATTCCCCCCCCTCCCCCCCCTTCTCCCTCCCCAACCCGTGCAGCGCTTGGTGTCGATGATGGGCGGATCCATCTCGTTTGTCTCAAAGCCCGGCGTCGGCACCACCTTCCTCTTCGATATCCTCCTCCACACACCCCCTCTCCCTCACCCCCCTTCCTCTCACCCTCCTTCTCCTCCTCCTCCTCTTCCTGCTGCCTCCTCAGCCTCCCTACACTCGCCCGCCAACCCTTCTAGCACCCCCTTCATCCCCTCTCCTCCTCCTCAGCACTCCTGCCAGTTGCCCCAGCAGCAGCAGCAGCAGCAGCAGCAGCAGCAGCAGGGGGCATGTGGGCTAAAGAGTGGGAGCAGCGACTGTGGTGGGAGGGCGGCAGATGCACGAGAGGGAGGGGGCATATGTGTGGCGATCAGTGGGAATGACGGGAGGGCGGCACGGGCATGGGAGGGCGTGTGTGCGGTGAGCGGTGGGAGTGGTGGGAAGGCGGCGGGTCCTCTAGAGGGCGTGTGTGTGGTGAGTGTGGACGACCGGGCGGTGCGGCATGCCGTCACTCTCTCTCTGCTGCGCCGCCTTGGCATCTGCACCCTCCCCTGCCCCTCCTTCCACCTCCTCCCCCGCCTCCTCGCCCAACACCGCTCTCTGCACCATGGGTCGTGCCACTCCTTGCACCATGGGTCGTGCCATGCCATGCAAGATGACTCATCTGATGCGATGGGCCATACCAGGCACCATGGGTCATTGAGGCAGGCCATGCACTCTCCCAGGGAGCACCAGGCGGGGCAGCAGGCGGGGCAGCAGGGAGAGCACCAGGAGGAGAAGGAGAAAGACAACGCTGAGCTTGCTTCTGAACCGTCTCTTGCTGCTAAGTACCTCGCTCGCCTCCTATCACTTAGTCCCAAGCACATCCACCCGCCTCGTGCTCCTCGCGCCGTCTCTCTCACAACCTCAACAGCAGCACCCTATGCACCGGTCAGTCATGCACCTGCCGCTCAGTCAAGCACCGCTCCCCCCCGTCGGGTCAAGTCACACTCTGCCCTGTCAAGCCTCCCACTACCCACCTCTCGCCACTCCATTGCACCGCAGAAACCCCACCCGGCGCCATCTTCTCTTGCTTTTGAGAATTCTCACAAACCCCACCCGCCGTCTTCTCTTGCTCCCCCCCCTCCTCGCCGCGTCAAGTCACACACGGCCCTGTCATGCCTCCCACTACCCACCTCTCAACTCTCCATTGAATCCCTTCTAAATGCTTCCTCCACGAATTCTTGTGAGGCGCACGAAAAGTCCCACCAACCGTCTCCTCCTGACCCTCCCCCTCTACCGCGCCGCGTCAAGTCTCACACTGCCCTATCACGCCGCGCACTACCCACCATTCAGAGATCCATCGGAGCCCTTATAACCGCTTCCCCCACAATACGCCCCGCATCTCGTGATCTGTCTCTGGTCCCGCTGCTTCCAGCCGACTCGTGTGCACAAGCCCACGCAGGACCATCCAGCAGCCACTCATGTCATTCTATTGAGGAGCTATCCCGTCCTCTCGAGCATTCTGCTCCTCTTTTCGACCCATGTGCCTCTACTACCGACCCGCCGTCTGGTCCTCTTGAGCCGTTTGGCTCGCCGGCTGTGCTTTTGGCTCCTCCAGCTCTCGCCTCACTTTCCCGCCAGTATTCCTGCCCTCCTCTCTCAGTCGCTCCTTCTCTTCCCCGCCCTCCTCTCTCGATCGATGTCCATTCCTCTAGCGAGATAAGTGCAAGGGGAGGGGAGGGGAAGCAGCAGCGGCGGTGGCAGAAGCAGGCTGCAGGGAACGAGACAGAGGAGGAGGAAGAGGCGGGGAAGGAGGGGGAAGACGAAGAAGAGGTGGAGGAGGAGGTGGATGGAGAGGAGGAAGGAGGGGAGGAAGATGGAGCAGGGAAGGTGAAGCAGCGCGTTTGTCAGAATTCTCAAGAATCGCAGCAGCGAGTGCATTACAGGAGGTTGCGTGAGGCGCAACGACGGGGATGGGTGGGAGCGGTGGTGGTGGAGGGGGAGATGATGCAGCGGCTGGGCGTCTCAGCAGATCAAATCTACGCTCTCGTGTCTGGCCGGGCGGCGGGTGAGAGTGGTGGAGGTAGCGAGTGCAGCAATTGCAGCAGGTGCAATTGGCCTGTTCCCTATCTTGTGCTTCTTCACGGCTCTTCTTCTCTCCCCCCCGACAGTTTCAGCCCTTGCAAGAGGAAGGCTTTTAACGGGGACAGGGAGGGCAGCCGCAAAAGGCAAGCAGGAGGGTTAGATGAAAGGGAAGAGGGGGGTGATTGTGAGTGTAAACCGGGTGACTGTAACGATGTGACGAGGGGCTGCCCAGGCAGCAGGAGAAGCAGGTCTTCTGCTCTGTCCCTCTCTCCCTCTCCAACCATCCCTTCCACCGCAGCGCACCTCTCGCCCTCACCTGTGCTATCCCTCTCGCCCGCCCCATCCATCCCCTCGCTATTGTCACTTGGCTTTGATGCTGTGATTAGAAAGCCCCTTCGGAAACCGGCGCTGGTGGCGGCACTTCTGCCGCTTTTCAGTGCGGACACGGAGCAAGGTGAGTGTGGGCAGGCAGGAGGAGGAGCAGGGGGGGCAGGAGGAGAAGAAGGGGCAAGAGGAGCAGGAGGAGAAGGGGAAGCAGGAGGAGAAGGGGGAGCAGGAGGAGCAGGAGGAGAAGGATGCAAGCAAGAGGATGTGGCACAGGGAGGGATCATGAAGAGAGAGGCGAAGGGGCAGTGGGGGGGTGGTGTGGCGCTGAGCCCGTCGGCCCTCCACAGGGCTAGCAGCAGCGCTGCAGCGGCCCTCTGGCGAGCTGTGACGTCCCCACGAACACCCAAGACTTCACGGGAACTCAAGTCCCCACGGGAACTCTAGTCCCCACGAGAACTCAAGTCCCCACTAGAACTCAAGTCCCCACGAGAACTCAAGTCTCCACGAGAACTCAAGTCTCCACGAGAACTCAAGTCCCCACGAGAACTCAAGTCTCCACGAGAACTCAAGTCCCCACGAGAACTCAAGTCCCCATGGCTCAAATCCCCCCGGGCACTCAAGTCCCCGCGGGCACCCAAGTCCCCCCGGGCACTCGAATCCCCTCAGTCATTCAAAGCCGTTCCCTTGTGCCCCTCCCACTCACCCACCACTCGCACCACTCCCACCAGTCCCAACATTCCCACCATTCAAACCACTCCTGCTACTCCCAACACTCCCACCACTCATAACACTCCCACCATTCCCAACGCTCTCAACACGCTGGGCACTGGTAACACTGCCCAACCCAAACATGCAAGCCCCATTGCAGCACCAAGCACGTCACGGCCCTCACCCACAGCAGGCAACTGTCCCTCTGCCGCTCTAGCTATGGATCCCGCACTCAACCTCCTCCCCCTCTCCCCTACTGCTGCTGCTGCTGCTGCTGCTGCTGCTTTTGCTCGTGCTACTTCTGCTTCTGCCGCTGCTGCCGCTGCCGTTTCTGCCTCTTCTCCTGCTGCTCTGGCTGCTGCGCCTCCTGCTCCGGCTGCTGCGCCTCCTGCTCCTGCTGCTCCGAGTGCTACTGACGATCATAGACTCTCGCAAGAGGCGGCTACATTGGCCCTGAGTGCAACTGACTGTGCATTGGAGGCGCAGGCAGCCCTAGGCATGTGCGGCGGAGGCAATGGAGTGGCAGTGAGGGAGGGTGCGGAGGTGGAGGGGGCAGTGTTGGATGAAATGAGTGGCTTGGATGGTGTGGATGGTATGTATGGTAGCAATGCCTCAATGGATTTAACATCGGCAACCAGTGCTACTGATGCTGCTTCGGTCAGCCTAGCGTCTACTTCCGCCGCTGCTGCTTCTGTCAATTTGACTCCTCCTGCCGGTGCTACAGGTGCTGCTTCGATCGATTCAACACCTGCTGCCTCTGCTGTTGCGAGTGGAAGTGGCATTTTGGGGAGGAAACCACTGGTGAGGGTTGGCAGTGCCGATGAGAAGGTCTTTTATTCGCCCCAAGGGTTGCAGTTGCAGCGCTATGTTCCTCAGGGGTTGCGAGCTCTGGTGAGAGGTGGCAGTGCGGTGGAAGCAGCTGGGGCAGCAGCGCGTAGAGCAGAGATGCATGGGCGCAAGGGTGAAACAAGGGCAGAAAAGTATGCGTCAGCGGGTGAAAGGAGAGCAGGTGGGAGGTCAAATGGGAGTCATAGTGATCGACAGAGAAGCAGGGATGGCGCTTGCGTTTCTTCTGGTGCTGCTGGTGCTGCTCCCGGTGCTGCTGCTGGTGGCTCTGGTTCTGGCGCTCCTGGTGCTGGTGCTGGTGCTGGTGCTGGTGGTGCTAGTGGTGGTGTTGGTGGTAGAGTGCGTGGTTTTGGAAGTGTGCTCGACTTCTCAGGGATCCCTCCCCTGTATGCTCGCCCTGCGTCATCCTCTTCCTCCGTTGCGACACTCTCCCCTGCCAACACCCGCACACCATCCCCATCATTATCACCAACACCAGCAGCTGCACTCCCACCACCAACACCATCATTCCCAGCATCATCCATAGCAGCAGCATCAGCAACAGCACCAGCAGCAGCACCAGCAGCCGCAGAAGCCCCAGCAACAGCAGCAGCAACAGCAGCAGCAGCAGCGGCGGCGGTGGCAGCAGCGACTTTAGAGCCGGCAACAGTGGCGGAGGGGCTAGCAGTGCTGTGGGGTCGGCAGGTGATGGTGGTGGATGACAACCTCATCAACCGCAAGGTGGCCAGCAAGCTGCTGGAGAGGCACGGCACGCGAGTCACCGCCGTGGATGGCGGCGCCAAGGCGCTTCAAGCCCTCACCCCGCCCCACCCTTACCACCTCGTCCTCATGGACCCCCAGATGCCGGGCATGGATGGGCTGGAGGCGACTCGGAGGATCCGAGCGCGGGAGAGGGCTCAGGGCGGAAGCCATGTGACCATCATTGCGCTCACAGCGGATGTGATTGCCGGCACGCGCCACCACTGCTTTGCCGTCGGCATGGATGACTACCTCTCCAAACCCCTCGACGACGGCCCCCTCTCCCACGCCGTCTGGCGCTGCCTCGTTGATAAATTATAATTTGTAGATTCCGATACCGGTATTACTTCCAACCATGATATATACTTATTATTTTATAATGTTGCCTACCTTTTTTTGGTAATGTAAGTGCTGTGAAAACTGTTTTCCCTTGCAGGTGGTTTCATGTGGTTTTGCGCGAGTCGCGGCGCCTGAAACGAACGTCGCTAACGTCGGGGATGCGTGAGTTGACAAGCCCAGCGCCAGGTGGTCTTCGTCACAGATGTTTCCACGTACGATTGGGAACGCTTTAGAACACTCAGAAACAGTTCTAAACCGGTTCCGCGAGGTGTTGCGAGTTTCCAGCGTGGTGCGTAGCCCGTTTTGGCGGCATGATTTGCGGCACCAAATTCTGGCTTCACCGAACTGTACCATCCAAATTCGGTGCTGCCCAGTCACATGCCGCGAAGTGGGATTTGAAGCATCAGAAGAATTCAGGAGAATATTGAAGACGACTGCCTCACTGAGGCAGCACGTTTGCCTCCTCTACAAAATGTGTGACGCCACATCCCATGCCCAAAACTGGGTTTTCCCCCACTATGCGCACTCACCATTGCACGAGCAACGAATTAGGTCACCTGAAACACTGTTTAGGAGGGCAAACAGTGCTTTAGTATTGCTACACATGTCGCAAACTATGTACCCCCTTCCCCATTGTCTCTGCAGCTACCAGCAGCAATTCGCAACGAACCAGTCACGCACGTGAAAATTTTGACTACAGCGAAATTTACTTCGGTTCTGCTGGATGTAGAGTGGTGTACTTGGACTGCCGCGAGCTCACCGAAATTGCATGACGCCGGGATCTAAATTCGCATCTGCATAATAACTTCTGCGTTATAACAAACACAGCTATACCGAGATTTTTACAGGATAAGGGTTGCTGACGCGTCAAAAGCACTCACTCTGAAGATGCGATGTCACAATTGGATTTGACAGCCCAGACTGGTTTGGACTTCTGTGGCGAACAGAAACCCAAAAGGCAGAAGGTTTCCGTAATTCGCCAAGCTTCGTCATGATTCGTCTGAGCCCGCAGGAGAGGTTCATTCCAACTGTCCAAAGTTTCGACGACCTCGCGAACAAATTCGCCTTCGACAATCTTCACGTGCAACCCAACACCTTAAAACTCTATCCACAGCTCACCACTCGTTCATTCCTTCTTGATTCGATTTCATGCCCCGTCTTCCCAATTGTCGCTCTCCTCTTCCCTCCAGGGTAGCTATGGCTGACGCTGTTTAGCGTGCACGGTGCTGTGGCTGCTGCTGTCAATCCGTTCCTCCCAAATGTAAAAGTTCCTCAAATATGTGCCTATATTCTGTTCTTTCATCTTCCCTCCAGCAGGATATCGAAAGTACGCGGTGGCGGACGATTTCTGCTGTGAACCTTGCCCTGGCTGCATGAAACCTGCTAATACGCTACCTTCTCGCTGCCTACGCGCGCCGGTCCACTCATGCGCAAATCTTGTGAGTTTATTTTCCAGGTACGTACGCATTGGCTAATGCGACCTTGTGAGTACCTCTTTCTTTGCAGAATACTAGGGCTCATCACAAGGCTCTACATCAGCGATTTCCGATACTATCGTCAACCGTCCGTTAATATTATTGGCAATTTACGGTTTTTGTTCTTCAGAAGATGAATTGCCAATTTTTCGCCGAGTTTATCACGGTTTCTGGAGGTGCTTCCTGCGGTGCAGAGCGGAGCTTATGGACGGCATACATGATCGGTAGGTTCATGTCGCAAGAGTTTTTTTGTTACCTAACTCTGCTGTGTGTTTTGGTGCTGAGGGCGTATCCCTGGGTGGTGGCAGGGCCACTGTAGCAGGCACTGTTGGTGGCATGCGGTTTTCCCGCATGCCACCAACATTTTCTCCGAGGCGCGCGCGACACGAATTTGGTGACATTTTGGGGACATTGCCCAATCACGAACCTGTATTTGGGCACCAGTTTCCTGACACCACCTGACGTCCTATGTGTTGGTGGCAGGCTGCCATCTACGTCTTACGCGGCTTACGAGAGGCTATGAGGAGTTTCAGGGCTGGATTCGCGCCGGATCTCGCGCTTGGCGGGTCCGCCGTTTGAGACGTCTCAGAAGTCGTTTCAGGCGACTTGGCAGACTTACGAGAGGTGGCTACGAGGAGTGTCGTCGCCTGATTCGCGCCGGATCTCGCTCTTGGCTGGTCCGCGGCGCGCGCGTTGTTGGCGAAGCGCGCCGACCGAGCAGCCGCGTGGAAGGATGCCATTGGCTGGAAGCGGCGCTCACGATGTGGCATACGGAGCGCGCAACAAGTGCGCGCAACCGTCTAGGCGCGTGCAACAAGCGAGAATGGGCGGACTGGTTGCTCTAGGCGCGAACAGTCTTCCCAGCATTACTTTTGAATCGACTGGCAGACTGTGACGTAAGGATGTTTGCCGCCTCTGAAGTTAGCTCAGAATCGAAGCTGCCAAGCCTAGAGGTTGCCGGAATCGTCTAGCCGATGCATAAATACCCGGCGCGCGGCAACAAGTTGCAAGAGAAACTGAAATCTAGGACCCACAGAGCTAGAAACTCTGCCAGATGTGATCGGAGAAGCCGATAAATCTACTAAATCAAAATTTCCAGCCACGTGTCGCGAAAGGAAATACGTGGCACCTGCCAGCAGTGCCGAAATCGTCCACGTGCACTAAAAGAATTCGCGTCACTGCCAAAGGTCCACCACAGAACTAAAATATTCAACCACCTGTGAGGTCCACTTCATGGTGTGAACCCCATCTCGATCACCGATACGAAACTACTATAACCCATCCATACCGTAAAACGATCCAAACTTGTTGCTAGAAGAAGGCGTTGTTCTCTCGTCACCTTTTGTTCTTCACTATGTTATTTGCTGCTCTGCTCTTGTGTCTCCCAGTAACTAGGCTCGACTTGTTAATTCTGTTCAACACTTCAACTAACATTTACGCCCTTAAATCACTATATTACCCGGCAGTCTTCGTTTGTCATTAATTACACTCTTGTTCTAACTCGTCTTTCGTAACTAGAACCATGATTTTGACGATTATTTGTTTAGTTCCTTGAAGTCTCTCTCATCTCGCGTCACTGCTTACGTCCCCTACTATGTTACCGCGTCACATTTCAAAATGGCTTTCCCATCCGTTCATCCCTTTTCCCGTGGCATTGAATCAGGATAGCAAGTCACATCTTCTCAATGACGTTGGAAAGGAATCATGGCGTTTCGTACGATTCAACACGATGAATCATCTACTTCACTTGTACGTTTTCTTGCAATTTCATTTTCTTGAACATTGTTATTTTATTGTAAACAAAAATGTTTGGTGTGTCAACGTTGTTGTTTGATTGTAAGATCTGTCTGAACAGAATTTGCTAAAAGGAGATGTCAATGTTTTCGTCGACGGTAAGTTTTTTTCATTCTGTTCTGGAGCTTTGTTTTCTAACCTCAATGACTGACAAATGATGTTTTCCAGCATACTATATGCCTATGTTGCGGTTCAATATATTATAATTGGATCAATTCATTTTTGCAATTGTCTTCTAACAACTTCGTCGGTTCAAGGGTAATATTGATTACTTCATGTCTGCACAACGTTTATTATGACTCAACTGAAGCCACTACTTAGATGTTGCGGTGTTTTTGTGTTATGCCAGATAATAAATTTGAGCCTTATGGTTTTGGAAGTTGTGGCAATTTGTATACATCATGGTGCAAGAATTATGCATTAGCGTTTCTAGTGTTTTCTTGTATAAACATTGTATTAATGTCCTGTTTTAAATACAATGGGGCTTTAAGGCCAAGCGCAAGAGAGGCAGTTGCAATGCAAGCAAACCCAGAGACGTCCCGAATCTGTCCGTGGGAGAGTCCTCAATGCTACAGGAAGAGAGGTCTCGAATGTGTCCCAAAAGTGTCTCGAAAGACACTTTCGAGACAGTTGGGCGTGACCCTTTCGGGACATTTCACTTAGACTCGAAAGTGTCTTTCGAGACACTTTTCAAACTGTCCCGAAAGTATTCGGAAAGAATCTTTCAGGACAGTTTCGGGACATTTCAATTTGGTGATGCTCCCGTTTTTTTAGAGTCTCCAATCTCCGTCCCGCTGGCGCGCAGACCACGCGACGTCGAACATGTGCTCTACGGGCAAAATGACTGCCTCGTTGACGCTGGATGCTAACGTGTAAGCGTTCCATCACGCTGAATATTCACTTGACCACATTTGCTTTCAATCTCGCCGACTATGTTCACCTTTATCACGCATTCTGAGTGTAGCATGAATGAACCTGCAGAACTGAATTTTCTGTCGTCCTCTCATCCTCTCCGTCTCCTCCAACCCCCTTCTCCTCCCCTCTCCCACCTTCTCCAACCCCCTGTCTCCCCATGCAGCACAACCACATACCAAGTTACCAACTTCACTATCCGCATTTCAAATGCACCCGTCTCGTCAGCCACAACAATCACCAATCCAAGAGTCTACACCTACGGCACTGGAGCCACTGTGGCCGAGTTCAGATGCACATTCACGGCGGATCCGAGAACCAGCATTTATACCTGCAATGTTGTAGACAAGGTGTCGCTCACTTACGCGTCCAAGCCAGTCGGCACCTTGAAGGTGCTGATCGACGCTGGGCTAATCAAGAGTCCCCCGCCCTTGCTTGTTTCGGTTCAAGTTAGCGGCGCCACCAACATTAAGGGGTCGGTCTCAGCAAAAGCGACCAGCTACTGAGTGGCATGTCTATCTAAAGAATATATGCGGTGGTTAGTTATTGTGTGTTGGATTGATACGTTGGCATTGTTGTTAGTAAGATTAATTTCTGATTTATAATCATCATGAGCAGCGATCGTTCTCATATTCAAGGCATGTGCTTCTCAGCAGCCTTGCCTAACCTGGCTCGCCTCAGATGATAAGCAGAAAAAAAGAAGAATCAATCAACGCATTAGATAGAGCCTGTAGACAGATACTTTGATCCATTTTCATTGATATGTTTTTGTAAATTGGATCTCTCTTTTTCATGTTGAAT